TTAATTACCATAAGAAAAGAAAATGCAAAACCAAGCAGCATGTTTTGTTTCACGTCTGGTGCTTAGAGAAGCATGGTCACAGGTTTCATGCTGTCAGAGGATAATGCAGCCTTACCATGAGGGTTTCCTTTTAATGGCACTCAACGAAACATCTGGGAGTTTTGTTTTTAAAAAAGTTCTGAGGTTCTTAGATAAGTTTAAACTTAAAATTTGTGTATTTTTGAATTAGAAAAAAACTATCTCAACTTTTTATGAAACGAATAGTTTAAGAGTAAATTTGCCGTTACATCAATCTTGTTCTCTCTCTTAAATTCATTTTACCAACTAGTTGTTTAAAAACTGATCTTAGAATAGAGTCCAAAAGCTTTAGAATGGCCAATAATCCGGCTTCTTCCTATCCAAACACATTTCTCGAACTCTTCCCCTTGTCTCATCATCTATGACTTCCGCCATCCTGAACGTTCAGTTTCTCCAGGGTGCCATCTTCTTGATCCAGGTCTTTTTTAAACAAACTTTTCTGTCTACATTTCCTTTCCTCATCCCTCTCTCCGACCAAGCTGAGTCTTAAGTCTACCTCCCTCCAAGAAATCTTTCCTAATAAAGGTTGAGTACCCTATAGTAATAATAGCACCCAACAGTTTCTCCATACAACTTTGATCAAACTGTGTAGTGCTTCTTTACTGATCTCACACCAGACCAAAAAAACATTATAGGAAGGAACCATTTTATATGCTATTTCACAGTATCTAAGCTGGTACACAGTGTGTGATAACTTGCTGAATGAATTAAGAGGTGAAAAGTAGATTTAAAAAAAATAGAAAAGTATAAACCTAATAAAAATTCAGATTCTAGTTAGTAGAATCTGATTTTCCTACCACTACAGACATTCCCCCAAAATATGTATCTACAGTTTATAAAGTGCTTACATAAATCATCTTACTTGAAACTAAAAATGACCCTGTAAGACAGAAGGAATATAGGTAAGAAAATAGGTTCAGATAACTTAACATGCTTTGCTCAACCTACTCTAATCAGTAAGTGGTGATGTTTTCTGATGTCTAATGTCACATTATCCTGCTATATACTATTTGTCACAATGTGAATTATACTAGAGGCTCCTCGAAAAAAGATAGTTATATAATACAATATAAGCATTTCCAGAAACTGCCACACCATGTGAAATCACATAATAAAAACTGGGCTTATGGGAAAAATTAGGGTCAGTGGCACAACACTCAAAAACTTCATCAGTGACACAAAAATAGAAACAATGAAAAACATCAGCGCAGTTTTACATGTTAATTGGCTAAGAAATACATAAATACTGCTATAAAATGTCTTGCAAAAGATATAGTTTGCTTATTGGAAGTATTGCAGCTTGTGAGTTACTGTGAAGTGTGTAGGAAGGTTATCTGAAATCGCATGGAAAGTTAACACCAGATGTGGATAGGTGTGGCTAACATGTGGAGGACTGAAGCAGCTGACAGATGTTTGAAATGTACACGTGTACATCTTGTATGTTTCACACAGCCCAGTTTTGTTTTCATCAATGTTTCTCATGATGGAACTGCATATATAAGTAAATGCGAAATTCATGCAATGTATAAATTGTTCCCTAATATGTATCAAAGACGTTGGAATAAATTTGCATTTTTAAATTACTATAGAAGAACTATGTGTACTGTTTCTCTTTGTATCCCTGACAATACATATAGCAAGTGTCCAACAAGTATCTTTTGTATAAGAAGTCTAAATTCATATTTAGGGAGAAAAAAACTTCTATAAACAAAATGCCAACTATCTTCCCAACCAAGGGAAAAGAAAAACTGATGGAACAAAACTGTATTTCACATAATCCTCACAGTGAACATATGAGGTAGATATTTCCATTCTACAGATGAGAAAAAGGCCTGTAAAGGTCTCACAGCTACTGGGTAACTTACGAGGTTTGAATACAGTTCAGTTTAATATTAATACTTATGTGTTTTCCAGAATAAAAAGTATTTATAATTTATATTTTCCATTATACATTCCAAACTTAGGGAAGAGACAACTGCTCCCCCAAAGCTCTTTACGTACATCTTTAAAAAATACCAGTAATTACTTCTTTGAACACAGGCACCGTAATGTCTAGGATCACGACTAAATGAGTTGGAATCACCTTTTAGAATTTTACAAGTCTCCTTAAAAGAGCTCAGTCCTGAACACAATTCTTTGACAATTTCCTCTCCACTAGAGTTGAACACATTACTGCTTCAGGTTTCTAAAGAGTTCCACTAATAATTTCAACCATCTGGTATTGCTACAATCCCAAAAGTTAAAAAACAAAACAAAAAAAAGACAAAAAAGGTGAAAGGATTTTAAGCTGAACCAAAAAACAGCAAAACATCTGAATATTACATACAATGCACTATCATTTGTCAGTTCATTAACTAGAAGTATAAAGATCTAATTGGTTGGTTATCGTTATAAAAATGTCACAGGAACAATGAACTTAATTGAAGATGGATGAAAAATGGAGAGAAACAGCATAAGTGATGGATAGTTAAAGCAACAAGGCTGAGAGACAGCAATGGGGGTGGTAAGCAGGGTGACAGAGAAAACCACTAGCTTTAGAACATTAAAAACTATGCTAAGGGTGTGTGGGTCATACTATGGCACAGCCAGGCCTATATTCACGCCACAGCTCTGAGAGTATCAGTCATCACTCAGCAAGGCTCAGGTACTTCAACTATAAAACTATGCTATCCAAGTGGAGCAGGGAAAGGGATTGAAGGAACATTCAGTGCATAGGAACACTGTTTACTAAAATGACCCAAGGTCATCATTTTATCATATAACAGACATAGGGTTTAAGAGTGTTCATTTACACTCTTTTAAAAAAATCAATTCACATGAAAGGTCTTTCTCTGCCAGGTGAAATTTGATGTTTAGTACTAAATAAAAAATCATATTAATCTCTGTGATCAGCTATATTTACCTATTATCTTGTACGTCACAGTTTTAATTTGTGAATAACAGTAGATCTCTATTTCCATTATTTAGTGTAATACTTTGGAGGACTGGAGACCCAGGCAACTATATTCTAATTACAGGCCACTCACTATAAATGTTGTTCAAACTATTTATTTGATCTCTCTGGAACTGTTTATATTTAAAACAATATATATATATGTATATATACTTTATGTAATCCTTTTCAGTTCTAATTTTAGTGTATGAATATGTTTGAATAACTTAAAATTACCAATAAAATGATTTTCACTCAGGAATAAAAGGAAAAAAACTTTTAAGCTTATTTTCATAGAACTGAAAAAAAAAGTTCACTAGTGGACTTCTCAAAACTTTCCTGTCCAAATGAATCACACCTGCCAACTCTTATCAAAATGTAGATTCAGCAGGTCAGAAATAGGGCCAGAATATGTTTCCAAGTGATACTAACTGCTGCTGGTTTGGGGACTGCATTTTGAATTGCCAGGTTCTAGGATCTGAAGAAATGGTATTGCTGATAAGCTGGGCCAGCCCAGATATTATTATAGTGGAGCAACTATGACCAGGAATAAAATACTGTGAGGAAAATATACCAGGAAATCTGATGACATATGTCTGGGATTTGCATTAATATAAAAGATGAGAAGAGGGTGGAGGCAACAAGAAATATAAGTTGGTAACTGAAGGTGAATACGGGGGTGTGTTATAGTCTTCTTTTTTTGCATGTTTGAAACATTTCATAAGTTAAAATTCCTTGACTAAAAAATCCTAAACACAAACACCAAATAAAAGGATGAAAACAAAGATGCCAAATACTTTGTCCACTGAAATGGGAGAAGTTGCAAGAAGAGTAGATATAATGTGATACTAGAAAGGGTATATTTGTATTTAAGGATCTTACACAACAATTTAGCTTTTAAAATACTAACAATAGCTCCTTCACTTTGTACATCTTTACCTTAAGAGAAACTTGAGACTCAATCACTATTGTAAAGAAACTGATTTAAAAACCTGCTCAAAAGTAGTTAAATGTCATGTGATTTGATAAGGAGTTTATCAATGTCCAAACGGCCTTGTAAACTTTGGACAGTGTAAAGTGGTGAAAGAGTAGTAAGTACATAGCTGTTCATTACGTTTTTATTTTTCTGCATATTTGAACACTTTTTTTGTCCTTAATGTGGGTTATCTGACACTCTTCTTCAACATTTATTCTTTTATTTGCAAAATCTGAAACAAAAAAAGATTAACTTAAAGGGAATAAAAATATTTAGGAGAGTGAAGAATAACCTTAGAAATTAAGAATTTCTATAATCATATTTCCTACGAATATTTAGCTGAAATAGGAAGATCTATGTATGCTCAATTTCACTCAATTCTATACCCATTTCTGTTTTCTGATCCTGGCTTCAGAAGGGAGAGATCTCCATTCCACTCCCTCCTCATACAAACTCACTTTGCATTGTCAGTTATAACACAATAAAAGTAAGGAACACATATAACTGAAGTTTTCTAAACACCAATATACTTGTTTGAAAAAAGTGATCTAAATTATTTTGAGTAATACAAACAGCACCTGAATCAGACTCTTTTAAAAAGTGGAAGTTGTAACATGACAAATTACCTTTAAGTTTTAAAATATTTTAAATATGTGTATGTATATCTTCCCACCTGATGCAAAAGCAGAGGATACGTTAATGTTTCTTTCCAATAACATCAAGTACCCTTTGTTAAAACTCACAAAGGCTGTCTAAGATTAGTAGGAGATCTTTAGCAGACACAAAAGATGAAAGATGAAACTGCAGCAAGAGAGCATGGCAAATCCAAAAGATCTATTACTGCATAAATCTAATAGAAAAACAACAACAACAACAAAAGAGATAGAGAGAATTAACGAGCTACAATAAAAGTTCTGTTTTTAAAGCAGCAGATTATATCAGGGTGGGAAATGTTAATTCTGTGTCCTCCTGGGAAGCAGTCACCATCTTTTAAACTAAAAAAACCCGCTGGTATATTTTCACAGCATCTCGGTTTATTTATGGAATAAAGCCATGGAATTATAATATTATTACTCCTTTCCCACCCTGGCAGAGAATAAACATGAATTCAGAAGCACAGTGGAGTGAAAACAAAGAGGAGAGAGAAAAGGCAGCAGAGAAAGACAGAAGGTGAATACAGAGCTACAGAAGTGTTTATTGAGCATGCTACAGAGGTAAGCAGAGTACACACAAAAGGAAATTAAACAACCATCAAACCTCCCAACTTTGTTAGAAAATTAATTTTTAATTGTGCCGCTTTCAAACTATACTGAATTTTACATTTCTAAAGATGTAAAAACTCAACTAATAGAAAATATACATGACCATTCTGTCTACATAGATAACAGAATCTATGAATCTTGAAACTAAGTACATCAATTTCAAAAAAGTATTGGTCATTTAAACAGAATCAACAATTCAGATTGACAAGAACTGTTCAAATTAATTTGACCTGTAGATTCTGAGCCATGTTTTTATTAAAGTCAGATCTATTCCTAAATACAAAATATTTTGAAGATTTATTAAAACTGAATATTACAATGCAAGGTAAATTAAGACTAAAGGCACATAAACTTTGGTCCCACCTGGTTGTCAGTTTTAGAAAACTGCCACAAAATTAATCTTCCTGCAAATTTTTGCAGTACACTTTCTTTATCTTTGAAAAATACATGCACCAGTTCCTGAACTAGCTAGACCAGTCTTCACATGCTCAGAAATCCACAACCATATTCCAAATCTTAATTACAAACTAAGGATGGCAATATATATTTAAATGCACATAAGTCAAGTCAACTTCAAAAACATCTACGAAAAATATTCAGCCACAAACAAGACATTACTTAGTGCTGACATTTATATGATACGTCCCACAAGAGTGTGTACAAAAAGGTTAAGATTCCACAATGCTTTCCACATAGGGCTCAAACTTACAGAAATCACTTTGTTGTCTTGAGAAATTAATACTCTGCATCTTGTTAATTTTAACTAATGCCTACATTCATAACTGAATCTAGACCAGAATTGTGAGATACAAAAGGCCAATGTTTTTTTAAAGCAAAGCCTAAGATAGTAAAAACTAAAAAAATGCTGCTTTATTCTTTAAATATCCTGTATCTTATTTGATTAAACAGAAATAAATGTGATAAGCCAATAATTCAAAATAAGTTCCAAGCAGGAGAAACAAAAACTTAACCTTTTTACACACCCCTGCCTAAACATATTGTAATTCCCATAGAACAATGTGCCCTAGACAACCAATTCCTTTTTTCTAGTAAATGCACAATAGCAACACTAGTTTTCCTTTTAAGGCACGTATGTCAACTAAGTTGAAAAAGGAAAGTAAAATTAAACTGAAATTTTAAACGGACAATAAAAATGGCTTCCCTATAGAACAGATGAAATAACAGCAGTTAATAACTCTGCCTTTACATATGCCATTTCATTTTAGAACGAAGGAATGATAACAGCATGAAAACAAAAAAAAAAAAAAAAGGAAACAAGAAAAAAATCAAACTCTGGTCCCGACTATTCTGAACAGTCAATAGGTGATGACACCAAACAATGTGATTCACCTCTAATCTTTATCTCCTTTTTTTTAAATTGTTGACTTGGAGAAAGACACTCTCAGATGATGGTTTTCACCAAGGTTATAATTATGAAGATCAATCAAGGCCTGGATAGCTTCTTCCACTGTCGCCATCTGAAGAAGAGCCATTTTGTGATCTCTTCTGAAACAAAATTTTAAAATTAGATCCTTCATAAAAATTAGAAAAGGCTTAAATACTTGAATTTTGCCCATTCCAGAATCAAAAATTTCTATAAACAAAAAAATAAAAACTACTTGGAGAACTTTTTATCCGGTCACTAATTTAAAGACAAGAAAGCTTGCTTACTGAAAAAACTTAAATGCTTTCACAGTGCCCCCAGTGTTAGCAAACAGTGTTCGTAGATCCTCTTCTGCTACTGAAGGACTAGGAAAATTGGATGGAAACAAAGAGTAAAGATTAATAATAAATTTTACATTTTATTCCTAAAACGTATATCCTTAATAAACTCCAGCTTTAATACTTACGGGATATTGGACAGGTGAAGGGTTGCAGAAGGAGGAAAAATGTTCTGAAAATTTTTGGATCCGGGTTTCTTAAAACGATGCAGGGGGGAATTACCAAAATCTTTTGTGAGCCCTTGATCATCAAGTCCCTCTCGAGGTAGTTGTACAGTCTGATGTTTGGATAGAGTAACACGAATAATTTTTCCATACATTTTCTGTCCATTAAGATGGTTCATAGCTATTAAGAAAAAAAAAAAAAAGCCTATTAAAAAAATGTTAAATTTCAAAGCAAAAATACTTATTTTAGAATAATTTAAAAATCTAACTTCTCTGATTTTAAAGTAAGTCATTAGTTTCTAATAACTACTGGTAACAAAGCATTCTGGCACAGAAGCTTCTTTCACAGAATGAAAATCCAGATTATGAATCAATCTCTCTCTTCCTTGACTACTCTGCTGAGAAATCAGATACTTAGATGCCCAAGAAAGAAACTTAATACTCATCTACATTCTTTTCTCTTTTCTGTTCTACATCTTAACTGCCAAGTCCTATGATACTCTTCCTCTTAATCATCTCTCAAATTCATCTCTCCATTTGTCCACTTTTCATGCCATTATTTTTAATCTGGATAACTCAGTTTTCTAATTTGTCTCCTGTTTGATTCTTTTCTACCTTTCTCCAATCCATTCTATACACAGCAGTTGAATGACCTCTGTATAATGCAAACCTGATTATGTCATGTATTGATGTACAATACTAACCTCTTTGTTAGTGCTGGGAATCAAGTGGTAAGACAAGAACCATCCCAGTCGTGATGGAATTTACGGTACCTTAGTACTATGCTCCTTGCACACTTTCTGCTCAGCTGTACAAAACATATTTCCTTAAACTAAGTGCTAGTTTTACTTATCTTTAGCCTGTATGAATGCTGTTCTATCTGTAACAATTCCCTACCTCCTTCACTACGCTCCTAATCTACTCATCCTTCACTGTTACTTCCTCAAGAAAGCCTTTCTCCATCCTTTGGAAAGGTTCAGAACCTCACTAGATAGTCCCATGTAATACCCTTTACGTCTTTTTAAATTCGTCACAATTTATTTTAATTATCTATATCTTCCTTTAGACTGTAAGGTACATGAAGGCAGGTACCATGATCTCTACCCCACACACAGCAAGGCACCTAAATACAGAACACTATGTAGCTATTTCTTGAGGTAGTAATTGGGTTATTAAAACTAAATGAACTGGACTGAGATTAGAGAACAGTTATACGTTTTATTTTTTATTCACTAGTCACAACTAAAAAGATCATTTCATAAGTCACATAAGTTTAGATAAATTGAAGGTCTGATTTGACTATTCAAATCAAAGTATTAAGAATATTAATAGCAGAGAGATAAAGGCAATGTAAAAGAACAGGTAATTGAGAACAGAATCGCTACTTTCAAAATGTTTTCAACTTGATTAGAATACTACAGTATACAGTCTGACACAAGAGACAGGAAGAATTTGTAAATCATACTTGCTTGTACAGAATAAACCAGTTAAAATAAAATAGGTCTGAAAAGGAATATGCTGTAAAAGTATAAGATACTATTTATAAAAGAATCAAAAGTGACTTTTTTTCACTTACCACTTCCCTAATTTGTAAAAACAAATTTACTCTTTGATTGTTTTATGACAGTGTTATATATCTGTAATAGATTTTTTTAGATTTTCAACTGAGACTAACAGAAAAAAAAAAATCATCTCAGGCCTGAATTTTCTTAGTATTTTCTTACACTGCATTTCACATATAAATTTACACTGACGCTTATGAAATCAACGCAATTATCAATAGTGATGGTACGCTTTTATAATAAAACTTATTTGAATTTAAAAATCTTTTTAAGTTCTATAATTCTATTGTTCTAAGTGAACAGAACTTCTTATGATAAAGTGCTATTTCCCTCACGTAAAATGTGTCCTAAGCAATGAGTCTGGAGAATAAATTGGTATTAAGAAGCAGACTAAGGTTGTCATAAGAAAGCTGTCTTAGTGTGGCTTTGAAAAGTTATGAAAAGACTGGAAGCTGAGCTCTGAAATACTGATGGGCAGGAATAAAAATAATGAAAAATCCTAGGCACAGTAACAAAGAGATGGGTAGAGAAAAAGGATTAAAACTGAGCAAAATAACGAACAGCTATCTGAAGAAGTAGCCAGGTAATGAAATTCTAGTCAGCTGACTGCTGACAAAAGAATGTGAAATGATTTAAAGTGGATGGAGGTTTAGGGGGAGAGAGGGGAGTAATTAAAATACCAGTCCCCACCCCCACTTTTAATAATTACTTTTCAACTGCCATTGACATACAATATTCTATTAGTTTCAGGTATACAACATGGTGATTAGACATTTATCTAATTTAAAGCGATCACCCTGATAAATCTAGTACCCATTTGACACTGTACAGTTATTAATATTGACTATATTCTCTATGTTATACTTTACATCCCCCATGGCTATTCTGTAGCTACCAATTTGTACTTCTTAATCCCTTCTCCTTTTTCGCCTACCCCCCCCCAAAAAAATTGAGGTACAGATAATGATTAAATAAAGCAAAAGCAGATTTGAATCACTAATTTAAAATGAATCAAGTTTAAATAATTGGACTCATATCTGGAAATCTTATTGTTCCAAGAAAATAAAGGCATAAATGGACAAAGCAATCAATGATAAAGGAGGTAAACATCAACGCTGCACAGTGGAGATAACATTTTTGGCTGAATACAATTTTTTACCTTTCTCTTAATCCATCTCTGAAGAAGACATTAATGAATAAAGTTAAAAGATAGCAAAAAATTTATAACACAGGAGTTTATATAATATGGAAATGGAGCTTACCAATACTTAATACCCTTTATAATTCAAAATGTCTTGCCTCTCTCATTTTAAAAAAATATCGACATCCACGTGTCTATTAGTCTTTTCAAAGGACCCAAGTATTTCCTGTTATTTTTCTCTCAACTATTTATACCATTATAGAATGCTGCTTTTATTATCTTCTTTCTTTGGTTTTATAACATTCTTAAAATTAAAACTTTCTGTCAAAACATCACATTCTAATTTGCATAGTACTTTATCATTTAGCTTTGTTATTTTAAATTCCCATTAAAATAACTTCTTTGATAGCAAAATCTACCCTAGCAGCAATGAGAAATAATAAGTTATTTGCCACTACATTAGTCCAAAAACTATAAATGATGCTACCAGTAAGTCAAAGCTTTAGTGAAAAAAAATCTTATAAAAATTAGGGCTTTTTTACAAATATAAGTATTCTTACACACTGAACTGTATTCTCCCAAAATATACATGTTAAAGTTCTACACCCCGCACATGTGACTATTTGGAGAAAGGGCCTTTAGGAAGGTAATTAAAGGTTAAATGAGGTCATCAGGGTGAAGCCCTAATCCAAATAAGACCCTGTCCTTAAAATAAGAGGAAGAGACACTAGAGAGCTCAGAGAAAAGGCCGGATGAGAATACAGGAAGCAGGCAGCCACCTGTAACCCAGGAAGAAAGCCCTCACCAGAAACTGAGTCTGTGGGCACCTTGATTTGGGACTAGTCTCCAGAATTGTGAGAATATAAACTTCTGTTATTTAAGCCACTCAGTCCGTGGTATTGTGTTATGGCAGCCCTAGCAGAGTATAATAAATATTAAAATATCACTTATTTAAACTAGCCCTCATATAAAACAAAATGAATTATTCAGAAGAATTTGATTTAATTCTACTTCGGGTACTTCTCAACCACAATGACTATATAATAAGAAGGTGATGCCACCCACAGCTCACATGGTGATAAGGGAAAAAAATGAAAACTTTGAGCATGCTTTAACTATGAAACACTGTACAATGCTATTTACAATGTATATAAAAACAATGGCAATGACCACTCTCACCAGAGTACATAAGTATACCCAAGCAGAGGAAGAAGAGATTTACTAAGCATCTATGACATGATTAGCACTTTTATATGTCTTTCATATTAAAAAATGGGAAGCCAGATGTACAAAGTTTTACACACTGTCTGAACTATCACATTGGTTGGTAAGAAACCCTGAAATTCAAATTTGTGTATAACCTCAAAGGCCAAAAGATCCAGTATATCATGTTAGTTTGAGAGTCTCATTGGATATGAGAGCAAAAATATACCAGTACTTACATCGAAATGGCAAATTTCAAAGTAACAATGTGAATACAATCAGTCTAAGGCACTATCATTCCTGAATCTCAATTAATGGAATTATATGCTCAGAACATACTGATATTTACAGCCAATCACCCTAGGAGTACGCAGTTATATTCTAGATTTATGTGATTTGACTTTGTGTCTGAAGTCAGATGATATGAATTAAAATCACCAATTATTTATCTAAGTAATAAGTGTTAACTTGACTAAAGTAAACACTTTAAGACTCCAAAAGGGACTAATGGTGTATTTGGCACAGGTTTTTCATTTTGAAAGAACCTAGTATCTTTTAAAATACATTTTCCACGTGGACTTCTCCATTACTAAGTTCAGCCAAATACTTATAAATGACGTTAGAATTAAAACAACACGGCATTAGTCAGGGTTCCATGGACCATATGAACAGTTAACTTCCATTACAGGGAGTAACCAAAAATGAAAACAACTGAAGATCATTGTAATATCTATATGCCATAATTCTTATGTAAAATTGTTATGGTAACTTTGGAGCCAAACCCCTTTCCCACTAGACTGAGCATGAGAAATAATAAGAGGATAGCAGAAAAATACTAATATGCTTATCATATACAACTATTTACATTAAAATATGAAAATTAACATGACATTTTGAGCCCTGGCTATTAAAAAAACAAATGGCTTCTTACTAATGTACAGGGTTTACTCACAGATTTACATTATGTATTTGAAATCAGATCTGAAGATGTATAGGTAATACATGGTTTATTCTTACCAAGTTGTGACTGGTTTCCATCAGCCATCTGGATCAGAGCACTGTCTTTCTTATTGTACAAAATCTTCACACGCTGCACATCTCCATAAACACCTTTTTTAGAGCCACAGAGAGGTAATCCAAAAATGGAATTAATTTTATGTTCAAGTCAGCTAAAGATTATCTTTCTGACATATTAATGAAACATTCAGACAGCAACATGATCACTCATTCAAACTCATCATTCTCACAAATGAATAAAGAAAGATCAAGATTTTGAACAGTGAATTTTGAAAAGAATAATTTCTGATAAACCCTCAAAGCTATGTGAATGATATTAAATTAAAGACCATGCAAAATAAATCAGCATGCATTAAAACAAATTTTGTGTCTATGGAGAGTTTTAAATAGCAAAGAAAAATAGCAAAAGATTTACTATTCAACTTTAAGCCAAAGTGCTAGCTACAAATAAGAATTAAGGTGAAACAAAAATCAAATCAATAATAAAAGTATAGTGCTAACAATAACATACCGAAGAGGGTAAACAGACTTTGGGGCGTAACCATCTTTAGAAGGAGAGAAGAGCA